CCGGTGTCCTCTCTAGTCGAGGGGGTGGAAAGTGGAAGTCCTCCTGCCACGTGGCTGCAGCTGGAGAGTCCCACGGCTCTTCAGACACACCCGGATTTCTGAGAAGAGCTCTCTGTGACTGGGGCGAGGGAACAAAAAGGGACGAAGGCAGACATGAAAAACCGAAGGAAAGCATTTCATGCTGTCTGTCCCAGCACCTGGCAAGAGATCTGCCCACGGACCTCCGGCAGCCCCCAAGGGGAGGATCTCCCCTTCCTGGGCTGTGGGCACACCCAAAGCTCCAGCGAAGCACACACCTCCCCGACTCCTGGGACTCTGCCGCCATCCCTTTTTTTCCTCTGCCAACTGTTTAAATGCACCTGCTCCCAACCTTAGCAGCAAGTCAGCTCAGCTAAGAGAAACTCAAAACTTGTGCTACAGCACCACCTTCCACAAAACAAAAAGAAGGCTCCCAAACACACATCTCTCGACCTGTCAGAATCAAAGTAAACAAATCCTTGGAAGTGATGTCAGCATCGTGGAAGGTGAGATGCTCCCGTCTGTCCCCTTCAATCTACATCAGTAAAAGATCCATAACTCAGCAAGAGTTCTGCACGTCTGTACATCTAGAGGTGGGTGGGCTGAATCACGTAGAGGAGGTAAAACCCGAACAGTGGAGGAGGTACCCAAGATCCAGGTGACCCTGGACGCAGTGGAGGCACCTGCCAGCCCAATGGCACAGGTGCCACGTCTTCAGCAGCATTAGCAGCAGCAAGACACCACAGACCCCACAGGCACAAGCAGTGACTACAAGGGCACTGGGTGACACCTCTGGCAGAGGCTGTGGGGGGTGGGGGTGGGAAGAGACAGCTCAGGGAAGATGAACCAAAAACCGGTGCTATAGCGCCACCTACCGAAAAACAAAAAAGGCCTCTGCTTACTAATCTGCTGAACTGTTAGAATCAAGTTTAAAAAAAAACCAAAAAACCTTTACCTAAAGAAGAAAGGTGTTCACTACTTCAAACGTACCAGCAGAGGACCAACTCATCACCCACCGCGAAAAAACCACAGTAACACTGTATCACAAAAGTAAAATGACAGATCTCCAGAAACTTAAAAGTTACAGAATGTTGTGGTCTAACTGCTAGGGAATTTAAAATAGCGGTCATGAAGAAACTCAACAAGCTACAAGAAAACTCAGCGTGTGGGGGCTGTAGCTCAGTGGCAGAGTGCATGCTTAACATGCATGAGGTCCTGGGTTCAATGCCCAGTACCTCCATTAAAATATATAAATACACAAATAACCTAATTACCCCGCCCTCCACAAAAAATTAAATTAAATTCAAAAACAAAACTCAGAAACGCAGTTCAGTGAGCTCAGGGAATACAACTAATGAACAGAAAGAACACTCGATCAAAGAGACTGAAACTCAAAAAAAGCAGCAGACATTCTGGAGCTGAAAAACTCAACAAATGAGATGCGGAATGCATTAGAAAGCACTGGAAATGCAGCAGACCATACGGAAGAGAGAATTAATGAGTCTGAAGATAGAAATTAAAAAATGATTAAGGTAGAAGAGGAGAAAGAACTAAGGCCTTAAAAAAAAAAGAGGAAGTCCTGTAAGAGCTACCTGGCTCCACTGTGAAGGGCAACATTAGGGTAATGGGTATCCCAGGAAAAGGGGTAGAATTATTTAAAGAAATAATAGCTGAGAATTTTATTTAAAAAAATAGCTGAGAACTTTCTAGGTCTGGGGAAGGAACTGCATATATAAGTCCATGAAGCTAAGACCGCACTTCATTATCTCGAGGCAAAAAGACTTTCTCCAAGACACATTATATTAAAACTATCAAAAGTCAAAGACAAAGAATGAATTTTAAAGACAGCCGGGGAATAAAGGACGGTAACCCACAAAGAGACTAGGCTGTCAGCAGATTCTTCAGGGGAGACGACAGGCCAGGGTGGAGGAGAACCACACACTGAAAGGTAGCAGCTTTCACCTGAGAACACTCCATCCAGCAGAGCCACCTTTCAGATCTGCATCGGAAATGAAGGCTTTCTCAGGCGGGCAAAAGCTGACAGAGTCTAGCACCCCACCTGCCTGACAAGAAGTGCTGGGAAGACCTCTTGTACCTGAAACAAAAAGGCAGAAGCACACAAAGCCCCGAGTAAGCTGTTAAACAGACACATCAGGAAACTGCAACCTCTGTGTCACAGTAGGTTGTTAAACACTTAATCACAGCGTAGAGGTTAAAAAGGAAGCAGCAGTAAAGATACCCACAGCGACTTCAATTTGGCCACAAGCTCACAACGTAAAAAGGGATAATCGGACAACAAAAACATAGGGAGGAGGAAGAAGATGGGACCAATACAGGCAAATAAGTAAGAGGCTGTTAGCAGAAAAAGGACTATTTCATCTATGAGATGTTTTATATAAACCTCACAGTCACCACAACACATAAACCTAGAGCAGAGACATGAACCATAATAAAAGAGGAAACTAAGAAAAATTTCATAGAAAAGCACCAAACTAAAATGGCAGACAGAAACACACACAAGGAAACAGTGGAGATACACAGCAACCAGAAGACTAAAGACACAATGACAGGGGCAAGTCCTCATCTGTCAGTAACTACCCTCCATGTAGATGAACCGAATTCACCAATCAAAAGACAGAGGGGCTGGATGGATTAAAATACAAGACCCAATGATGTGCTGTCTCCAGAAGACTCATCTCTGGGTTTCTAAAGTCAAACACAGGCTCAAAGTAAGGGAAAGCAGATGACATTCCAAGAATTAATATTGTTAAAATGGCCAAACTACCGAAAGCCATCTACAAACTCAACGCAATCCCCATAAAACTACCGAAGGCGTTCATCACAGAAATAGAAGAAACAATCCTAAAACTTGTGTGAAACCATGAAAGAATCCAAATAGCCAAAGCAATCCTGAGAAAACAGAACAAAGCCAGAGCTACCACACTTCCTTATTTCAAACTGTACTACAAAGCCACAGTAATAAAAACAGTACAGTTCTGGCACAAAAATAGACATAGACCAACGGAACAGCATAGAGAGCCTAGAATTAAATTCCAGCATGTTATGGTCAACTATAAACAACAGGGAGCCGAGAACACTCCGGGAGGAAAGGAAAATGTCTTCAAGAAATGGTGCTGGGAAAACTGGAGAAGCACACACAGAACAATGAAATTGGACCCCAAGTCACGCCACTCAAAAATTAATGGGAAATGAATCAAAGACTTAAATGTAAGACCTGATACCATAAAACTCCTAGAAGATTAAAGATAGGGAAGAAGTCATCGATATTGGGTTTGGTGATGATTGTTTTGGACATGACACCAATAGTATAAACAACAAAAATGAAAATCAACAAATGGGACCACATCAAACTAAAAAGCTGCACAGCTAAAGAAACAATTAACAAAATGAAAAGACAGCCTACAGAATGGGAGAACATTTTTGAAAACCATATATCATTGGATAAGGGGTTAATATCCATAGACATATTTTGTCAACAACTTAATGACAAGTAAACACTGTGATTAAAAAACGGGCAGAACTAGGGGGAGGGTATAGCTCAAGTAGCAGAGTGCATGCCTCTCATGCACAAGGTCCTGGGTTCAATCCCCAGTACCTCCATTAAACATAAACAAATAAACCTAATTACCTCCTCCCCGCAACACACACACACAAAACAGGCAGAACTAAGTAGACATTTTTCCAAAGAGGACTTCCAAATGGCCAATGGCACATGAAAAGATGCTCAGCATCACTATGAGGGAAATGCAAGCTCAAACCACAATGAGCTACCACCTCACACTTGTTAGAAGAACTATCATCAAGAACACAAGAGACCACAGGTGCTGGCACGGATGTGGTGGAAAGGAAACCCTATACACGGCTGATGGGAATCTAAATTGGTCCAACCACTATGCAAAACAACACGGAGGTTTCCCCGCAAATTAAAAATAGGTCTATCATTTAATACAGCAATTCCACCCCTGGGTATACACCCAAAGTCAGGATTTCGAGGAGATACCTGCATGCCCATGTTCCTCACAGCATTATTCACGAAAGCCGAGATATGGAAACTACTCAAATTGATCAACAACAGATGAATGGATAATAAGACGTCCTATACGTACACAGTGAAATACTATTCAGCCATGAAAAGGACATTCTGCCATTTGCGACGTGTTTAGACTCAGCGCATTATGCTAAGTGAGACAAATCAGACAGAGAAAGCAAGGACTCCACGATATAACTTAAAAGGTCAAACCTGCAGAAAACAGAGTAAGAGCGTGGTTAACAGGGGCCGGGAGGCGGGGGGAAGACTGATGGTGCTCAAGGGTACACATCTGTAAGGAGTACAATTAATATGCCACAGAGAGCTAACGCACAGTATACTGAACGTAGTTAACACCGCAGTCTAGTTATGTCCTGTGCTAAACACCGCTGCAACCGCATACTACAGCATTGAAACGTGTCAAAGCAACAGCTGTACACCTTGAATTTACACAAGGTTATACATCGAATTTACTCAATTAAAAAATGACATCACAGAGTGAGCATGCCTAGCATGTCCTATTTTAAGACTTTTAGAAGTATTAAATTGGTTACACGAACAGCAAGCTCTGGAGAGAAAAAGAACCTTACGCCCGTTTAGGGCGCTCTTTGAGATGCCACACCCAAAGCACCTGAAATCAAAGAACCCCCTCCTCCCAGCAAGGCAGGGGCAGCGAAGGAGCTGAGCCGGGCGGCCCGGCCTGCCGGGTCCCCACCCCCAGCGCCCGGACCCGCGCAGCCGGCCCGGGGGGCGCCCTCCCTCCCTCCCTCCCCCGGCCGCGCACCCCTCCGCGCCCAGGCCCGCCGGGGCCGGCCGGGGCCCCTCGGCGGCGCAGGCGGCCGCCTCCCACCGCGGGGCTCGGGAGCATCCTTCCCCGGGACGCCACTCCTCTGGCGACTCCGGTGGTCGCCAGGGCGCTCGCGCTGATACTCACCCGTTGGGGACACTGTTCCTCCTCATCGTGACGCGACGGGTGTGGGGCTCCTACCACCCAGGAATCACTCCCAGGCCTCTCCTAGCACAAACCGCCAACCGGCCGCGGACCCCGGCGCGCCCAGCCCGGTGGCAGGCGAGCCGGCGGCGCGCACGGTTCCCGAGGCGCACGCCGGCGGCGCGGGGACGCACTGCGCACGCGCGGCCGGCGGCGCGGGGACGCACTGCGCACGCGCCTGGGCCCTCCGCCCGCGGGTCCCGGGGGGCGAGCGCGAGGCTGAGGTCCTGGGGCGCGCGTCGGGGACGCCGCGGGGGCATTTCCCAGTCGGTGGTGGAGGGTGCGTCCTGCCTTCGCTGTCCAGACGTAGCAAAAGCGCACTGTCCGTCCAGATGAACGTCTTACTGCCTGTTAAAGACCCCCGACCCTGTGTCAAATCCTCCAGTACTTATTTTGTCAGATGGGAGAAAACGCGGCTCCGTCCCGCCCCCACGACGCCCGGTAACCGGGCCCAGGCCCGCACGGGCCGCTGGGACTTGTAGTCCCCAGGGCCCGGCCGACCTGTTACGCATCCCCTTTGGGAATTAATAGGCTTGCGACCCGCTCCAGTTTACAGCGTTCTAGAGCAGTGCTTGATTTGCATCAAATACAGATCCGTATTATTTATTGAGGGCCTACTGTGTGCTGAACACCTTGTTGGGATTGGTGGAGGCTAGGTAAGTTCCTGCCGCAGCCCTCATCCTCACTTCAGGTTAAGCAGAAAGATGAATTTGCGAGTTAGAATGTAATGAACAAAAATTACGAATTACCCTTCTATTGGGGGGTGGGGAGTGGGGGGGTGGATCACAGACGGGCTAGAGTCAGAAAGAACTTTCTGGAAGATGTGGGGTTTCACACAGGCTTTGAAACGTGCAATGATCTAGATTAGACGGAAACTGCAAAAATCAAAGGATGGAGGTGTCAGAGAGAGAAACAGGAGTCTGGGCTGGCTATCTCGGAGGTTTATGAGGGAGAGTGGTGAGCAGCTATTAGGTGGGGAAGTGGACACTGGGTGTTCTGGCCTCACTTTCAGAAAGGGCCTCCGTTTTGAATTTCTTTCCAGTGGAGACTTAGATGTACAGCATGGAGATTCATCTTCAGATGTGAACAAGTGGCAGCATTGCAGGACTTACTCGTGTCTAGTTTCTGGACCTCTTGGCTCATATTTAGGTAAATCTCCCATAAGAGAAGGAGGGCC